CTACCGCTACTGCTACTACTACTGCCACTACTACCACTACCACCTCCCGCGAGGCAACTTTGGAATGGACAGGATGATCGCGAGGCCACTTCGCCGCTCTGCACGTCACCACCTTAAAGCCGCTTGTAAGGCTCCATTCCGTAAGCCGCTAACGCGAGCGACTCCTTTCAACAGTGCCCAATACCCGAGCGGGTTGCAAAGAAGCTTCGCCAGTATCACACAGCAAGTCGGAGATGCAGGGTTTGCAGTTTTGGGTTGCAACTCTCATCCCAGTTATTTCCAAACTCATCGGCACTTCAGCTAGTTGAGCGGAACAAGGCTGCAAAGAGACGCTGGGAGTCACTTCTGCTAACGTAGCACTTCGTGTAGAGTTGGAGGGCCATGTTCTTGAAAGTCTCGGAGTCCGCTGACTTAACATCTCAAGGGAATGGAACGCGTTTGGAGTCAAAAAGCTATGGCGTGGACCGTGCTCTGCCTTTAGGCCCAGGGATCGCCAGGCTCCGCAGAGCGACGTTGGCATTGGTAGCGACGCTTGGGAGGCGCACGGCCCAAGCCTTGGGACGACATGTACTTCGACGAAGACCTCCTGGAAGGACAGGACGGCGCAGCTGGCGCTGATGTGAGCGACATCGAAGAAGTCTCCTTTGAAGACGGCTCTGGCGCTGCATCGAATGGCTCAGTGCGGACTTTGGAAGTTTCCTCTGCACCCCAGCGCAAGCGCGGCTCACGTTGTGGAGCCTCATCGACGGTCGGAGGCATGGGAAGTCAGGAGAAGCGATGGCGCTCAGGCGCCATACCTGCACCTTTGACGGCGACAGCGAGAAGGACCTGTGCTGCTGAGTCGCTACCGCAGGAAACTGAAGAGATGGATCTTGATTACCAAAGAGTACTTGCCCCCGAACGAGCAGGCTCTCAGGGCCTTGGGGCAGCAAAGTGGCGAAGCGGAACTCGAGCTGGAGGAGATCGACGACTCCAGGTACGACCGGAAGGACGGGATCGAACTCCTGCTCAAGGACCTCGAGGAGTCGTTCGGCGAGCGGGAACTGTTTCGCCAAGGCGGGATTATAAGGGAGTTCGAGCAGATCGGCCGGCTTCAAGGTGAGAGCGTGGCCGCCTTCAAAAGGCTGGTGGAGCGCAAGCTGAAGCACAATCGAGTCCTTGCAAATCCCGAGCAAGCTCGAGTCGTCAAGCTTCTTGAAGGACTACGTCTCGGCGAACGTTCAGTTTCTTCAGTGCTGCTTGCTGCAGGAAACCAATACGACATGACAAAAGTGCTGGGAGCCTTACGGATCCAGTATCCGGCAGGGCTTAGCATAACGGGTCTTCCTCGACCTCGCCAAGACCCCCGTCCAGCCAGAGGCCGGGCTACAGCTCCTTCCTCGAGGAGCAGTCTTGCGGGCGCTTCCACTCGATCAACGGCATCTCGAGAAGCTCAGGACCTCGGAAGTGGCGGCATTGGAATACGGATTGGAATGAGGCTGTAGAGGAGGACCCCGATCAAGGTCATGATGATCAAGCAGACGCGCTGCCTTCTGTTCCCGAAGGCGGCGAAGGAGACGACGAAGATCATCCCGAGCTCCCTGTGAGCCTCCGGATGACGGCCAGGACGAGCCCTACAACGAGAAGGACCTCGACTACTACGCCCAGGAGGAGGACGAGGCCTGGACGTATGGTGATCAAGGCGATGCTCTTCTGGCACCAAGGGTGGCAAGTCTTCGTCCTCCCCGAAGGGCAAAGGCAAGGGTAACAAGGGCAAGCTGAAAGCTGAGTCAGAATGCAAGCCTTCAGCAGCAACGCCTTCAGGGAAGCCTTTGCCCCGGATGCGGGTCGGCAGACCATTGGGTTCGGGACTGCCCGGACTTTTCCATGCAGAATGCCCAGCTGGCATCGGCGAGCATGCCAGGACTTACTCTGGATGCAGATGGCCTTGCGAGTACCAGCTGGACCACCTCGGTCTCGTTCACCTCCGCGGGTGCCCCCAAGACTTCTGCTTCGTCCGACCAGAGCCCGGAAAAGAAGGTGCCTTTCAGTTTGCCTCCCCTTTCGGACTTCGAGCCCAATTGGTGCAAGACAGCAAATGTTTTACTTCAGGACTACGAGGGTCGGAGTTCGGCTTACGCGATAGCCGACACAGGTTGTCAGCGACAAGTAGCAGACGAGGCTTGGCGTCAGCAGAAGGTTTCGGAGATTGGCACGCTCTGTCGAGTTGATTTTCCGGACAAGTGCAAGTTTGCCTTCGGGCCCAATGAAGCAGTCGAGAGCCTCGGACGACATGTCTACCCCGCTGCAATCGCAGGAATACCCTTCGGCGTTGCTTTGAGTTCGGTTCAGGCAAGCGCCCCGGCCTTGTTGTCCATGAGAGCTTTTGAGATACTGGGTGCTGTGCCGGATGTTCACAAAGGTCGGGTTTACTTTCGAGCCCTGAAGAGATCTGCCAAGCTTTGGTTGTCACCATGTGGGCATTTGGCTATCCGTCTTGACGACTGGGGTAATCAATCGTTTCCGTGGCCACCCGAGCACATTCCCCAGGATTTGCCAGACGTTATCTCTTCGGCAGGTTTTTACAGCCCGAGCGTGTCGGAAACTACGAGTTCCCTCGCGGTACCGCCACCTCATGCTTCCTCCTTCATGGCTTCTACGGTGGCGAACGCTGTTGAGGAACCTCTTTCACTTCATCTTCAACGTGAACTCCATGGTGCTGCAGTACTCCATGACGGCGTTGCGCGGAGCCTTGAAGGACAGGGTGCTGAGCCAGTTTGGTACTCCGTGCACGGCCCGAACGATCTTGAGCGCCGCGGCGGCGGCTCTGACGACTCAGGAGTACTTGAACAAGCCCCAGACGTGTGCCCCATCCTTCGGGACTGCGGTCCTACGGGGCGGGCGGGATGAAGGTCCGCCTCTGCGGGCAAAGCCATACACGGCATGGTCGACACCATCATTACGACCAGCAAAGACTATGATGGGCACTTCCTTTTTGGAGAATCCAGCCTTCACCGAGTTCTGGAAACATCCGGATGTGAGACGACTTCATGAACTACAGTCGGTTCAACTTCGGATGTATGTGCCGTTGCTCTTTGAAGGACAAGCAAGGCAACTTGCTTAAGAAGTTTAGAGGCTGGCTGTCGGACTTGGACCCTATACTTCAACGAGTGGCCCTGCCCTGCATATGCGACAAGAGTTCTCATGGTGAAATTCTTGGTGGCAGTGGCAACAGTGTTTTGGCCCAGGCGTACACACCTGAGCTATCCGAGGCCATCGTCGAGGGACTCTGTGAATCTCTTGAAGCGGCCGGAGACGAACGCTTCGCCAGGCGCGACGAGCATGACATCGAGTTGAACACGTCCTACATCCTCGAGGCGGGCGATGATTACTCGGTGTACTTCCTGGATGTGAAGCTTCATGAAGATGCCTGGCTGCCTTTGTTACGTGAGGTGGATGAGCAACTTGTTCGCCCTGACCAAATCATTCCCCTGAGCACACCCTTTGGCGAGCAGCTGAAAACCCTGGTGCCGTGGGAGCTGATGAGGATTCAATTTCGTCGGACTCCGGTGCAACGAAGATTGCCCCTAGACATCTTCCAAGCCGGAGAACGACGCCGAGGCGCAGCTTTATGGTTGTCAGACGGTACTGTGAGGCCGCCGAAGCTGTTGTTTCCAGCATACTGTCTCAGTCTGCCAACAAGTTTGCCTCCCCATTCTTCGGCAAGGCGACACGAGTTTGGATCCTGTCACCAATGCTCAACCGCAGGCCAGGATCCAGCTGCAACCGGATCCCAAGAAGCAGCTGGAAGGAACTGAGGTGATGAAGCCTCACGAGCCCGGATACAGGGACATCACCTTTCCGGGTGCCCCTTTTGCGCCCAAACGGTCTCTGCAAGTACTCAGGGTTTGGTCAGAAGACTGCAATGGATGGCGAGGGCAGTGTCGAGTTACCGCCAAGGAACCATCGTGGCCATCGACCAGAACCAGCTGTGGCTGCGCAACTCTCGCGGCCGACGCATTTCCTGCAGCCGCGAGCAGGTTCGCGACGCGGCGGGCGAGGAGGAATAAAATCTGACCAGGGTTTGGCCGACTAGCGTTCCCTCGCCTTTCGAGCCCAAGGTCGCCCTGATGCCAATGTGGATCGCGCGGCCCTGGATGCTTTGGACTCGGCTTTGCAACCAGCTACTCAACCCGGTGATGCACCTCCGCTGCTGGATGCTGCAGGGGCTCCCTTGCCGGCGGAACTACAACAACAGGTTCCAGCCACTACGAGCCGAGAAGGTGTGCCGAGCACCTCCAGAGAGCCGGAGAAAAACACTTATTCTTGCAAGGCGACCGCTACAAGCCGTTCCAGAACAACGTGCACTTCAAGCTCCAGAACAACGTGTGCCACGGGACCCAGAACAGCCTGCGCCACTGGCCCCAGAACAGCATGCGCCACTTCCAGAACAGAGTGCGCCACTCCCAGAACAGCGTGACCTACTTCCAGAGCAGTCCGTGTCATCTGAGTCTAGGTCAGCTGGCGTATCGGGTCCCTCTAGACAGACATCAGGCCATGATGAGTCATCACGCCGTGTGTCTTCTATGTCGAGCCCAATATCGCTAACCACCAAGAACCTCTATCAGTCAGTTTGACAAACGACGTCCCCCCTCGAGATGCTCAACAACAACGCCTGCAGCGACTTGATGTACTACGTCAACACGGCCGCGAAGCAGTGCTGCAACCCGGATGGGATGGTAGTCCTTCTGAACTACAACCGCTTTTCGGTCAAAGCAGCTACCTTACTGCGTCGCATCTGTTCGGCAACCATGAACCGGACGATGCCGCTGCGACTACTACGACGCCAGCCGAGACATGGGCGAAGCAGCTTCTTCGGGCCAAGGACTTCCGCACTTCGGCGTGTTATCAACTACTCGACGCTGTGTCCATGCCTGCCGCTCAACGAGCAAAAATCAGGCTGGCGCCGCCTTGGCGCTGGGGCTGTACTCTCGCGGCAACTTCAGCGGCATCACCCGTCGCAGCCGACAATTCATGCTATGAATGAAACACTCACTTCACTTTTCGTCGCCAGGAACACGCGAGCCACCCCTCATCGAGACAACCGCGACCTCAAGGACAGCCTCAGCTGGGTCCACCAGCTGGGGGACTACCGCGGAGGTGATCTCTAGGTGGAGTGTCGTTCAAGCAATCCCCCGCAGGGCGCTGTCTGGAGGACGATCGATGGAAGGAGGGTGCCGGGTTTTCTGATGAGCGCGAGAGGCAAGACAATGTCTTTCGATCCCGGGTGTCTACACGAAACCTTGCCTTATGAAAGTGACCAGTACCCCATCACGGAGTATACCAGCAGAAGCATCGCTCAGGCGGACCCCGAACTTCGACGAGATCTTCGGCGACTTGGGTTTCTGGCACGTTCCAACTTCAGCATCCGAAGAGACGAGGTCATCGACAGGAACGTCCCGGTCCTCCAGGCTTACCCACAAGATCGTGGCAGACGCCAGGTGAAGGAGAGGCCGCAGTTATGGAAAGCTCCGGTGACGAGGGCGCCAACGTTGCAGCAAGCTCTCAAAAAGGAGCTCCCCTGGCAGGCTATGAGCGCTGACGAGATCTCGAAGTTCACTAAGGCCCTTATCGATGAGTGGAGTGAGTGGCAGAAGTGGTTGGGCTGCAGGCCGGTCTACTTGGACGCTTCGAAGATTGGCCTTTCGCCCATCCTGCGGTCAAGGGTTTGCTTTCGGAAGCCTAAGGGAGAAGGATCCTTCAAGCCGAAAGCCAGAATAGTAGTAGTGGTGGCTGGCTTTCGTGATCCTCACCTGCCCTTGCTCTCGCGCGACTCGCCCGTTCTGAGCAGAGCTGGTGTTATGTGTATTCTACAACGGGCAAGCGCCAACAAGGTGGACTTGTGGAACTGTGACTGTCAAAGTGCATTTCTTCAAGGAGCACCCGACGACGAGCGCCCCCTACCAGCATCTACATGAGGCTTCCCAGAGACCCGGCGAGTCGACAGGCAATTCCGGAATGGATGCGGCACGACCTTCTGTACCGCTTGAGTGCGCCGATCTACGGACAGGCGAATGCACCACGGAGATGGTACATTCATGTGCGAAAGGTCCTGACCTCCCTGGGATGGGTGACTCACACCCTGGACCCTTGTCTCTTCCTGTTCATCGAGAAGGTGAACGAGAAGGGTACCTTCACCGCAGTTCTGGGCCTGCACGTCGACGACCTGATCCTCGCGGCGCTGGACGGCTACGCTACACGAGCCGCCTGGATGCAGTGCACGCCTCTTGCACCAGGGGCAAGGACTGCGAGATCGGACTTTGTCTTCGTGGGCCGACGAATCAAACAATGCGCCGACCACTCCATCACCGTGGACCAGTCGAGCTATGTTTCGGAAGTGCCGGTGACGGAGACCAAGCTGGATCCAGAGGAGTTGCTCAGCAATCACCCGGAGCTCGTGACACAGTTCCGCAGCGGCATCGGCAGTCTTCAATGGCTGGCCGGAACTACACGGGGCGACATAGCCTCGGATGTTTCTTTTCTCCAGAAGCCCCCGGCAGAGGTCAAGGTCGCGGACTTGCTTGAAATCAATGCGGTTCTGCATTATGTGAAGGCCACGGACGGCGCCTACTACAAGGTAGTGTCCGTTCCTTGGCAGGACATGATGCTGGTGGCCTACGGCGACTCTGGCTTCGGAAACGCCCCCAACGAGAAGAGCCAGGGAGGACTGGTGATAGTTGCCACCTTTTGCGTCCGCTTTGGAAGGAACGCCGCCTGCGTCCTTGATGGAATGGCGAAGCTATCGTCATCAGCGTGTTCTACATAGTACGCTGGCAGCTCAGGCGGCATCGTTGGACAGGGCTGAGGACTACGGCAACTTCTTGTCGGCGATGCTCTCAGACATGTACGACACGAGCCATCAAGCGACTATGAGAGCTCCCGTCCTGGACGTGATACCGGTTACGGATGCCAGGAGTCTTTGGGACTCGGTCCACCGTCTGACGACAAGCTTCCAGGAGAAGAGAGTCGAAATAAGCATCGCGGCTTTGCGTCAGCAGTGCCGGAATCTACGATGGGTTCCGACAGAACGGCAAATGGCAAGAGAAGCCGGGTCCTTCGTGATCGGTTCCGGCAGTGGATGGCTGAGCCCTACGTCACGCTGGTCAAAAGGCGCAGCCCCGAGGACATCAACCTGCCCGGCCAAGCAAGTGACCCCTGGCGAGCTCCGAAAGAGCCACGAACAGGCCCTTGAAAAATAGAGGAGTGCTAACGTAGCACGTCGTGTAGAGTTGGAGGACCATGTTCTTGAAAGTCTCGGCGTCCGCTGATTTAACATCTCAAGGGAAGGGAACGCGTTTGGAGTCAAAAAGTTATGGCGTGCACCGTGCTGTGCCTTCAGGCCCAAGGATCGCCAGGCTCCGTAGAGCTACGTTGGCAACTTCAACCTGCATCCCGCAAAGCCAAACCCACAACCTAAGCAAGCGGCGGTGTTTGGGACCGTCGACGCCCCTCATGTTCGACCCTGAGCCTTACCTCACTTGACCTCACTCCCAACCCGTCCTTCGCCTCGGAAGGGTTGGTGTGGAAACCACCCTGAACGTGGGCTTGGCGTTCCCTGGATGTCAAGAGCCGAAGGGTAGGCAGGTTGAGAGTCGATGGCTTGCAGGCGCAGACTGTTCGGAGGTGTGTTTGGCATACACCCCATAAGCCCCAAGCGCTGACCAAATTAGCGTAGTGTGAAAATCCTCCTTGGCAGGAATTATAGCGGGCACAGAAAAAGCGGAGTCAAGAGGAGATTTTATTGGGTTAGATGCTATTCTTATCCAGCGCCGATCGACGTGCGTATGCTCGACAGCCTGAAGCGTCGATGCTTGGAACTTTGCCAGCGTCACAGCTGGCACCCTACACTCCAAGCACGAAGCAAGAGCCCACACCCACAAACAAGATCATGCAAGCTTCTAACCCGAACCCGAAATTCGAAACGGCCCGAAATGTCAAGCTGTGTTAGTTTTCAGAGGCTGTTGGCCTTCAGCTCCCTGGGTTTCGGCTTGGCGCGCACGGTCCAAGGCCGAGCACCGCTTTGGGAGCTTATTGCTGACGTCTGTTCAGAGTTTAGGTGCCAGGTTTCGGCTTGAGGGTTTGGGATTGGTTCTGGGCCTGGGTTCAGCTTCCATTTTCTGTTTGGGCTTCATGCTGGTGGTGTGTCGAGGACTGGATTTTCGGAGATGCGTTTCGCCTTGGTGGCGCTTCTTCTGTTCCACTTGGGCATTTGGAGGACATGACGAGGACACGAGTCGGCACGAACCTGCCCAGTTAAACCTAGTCCAAAAGTCGAAGCGGTCAACAAATCCGACACAGCCGAAGTCGGTCGAAGATTCGTGATAGCGCAAGCTTTACAGCATTCCTTTCGTGATGCTAGTGAGTGATCTTTTCTTGTGGGCTAGGCAAGCGGTTACTTGCCGCACCACTGATCACTACGCCCGAAACAGCCTCAAAAAAAGGCTGAGCCTCGAAACCCCGAACACCTCACAGCCGGAAACCCGAGGCTGGCTCTTCTGGCGGGTTTTGCAAGGCTTGGCGACGGCACCCATCTACACGTCCATCAGTGCGCCGGGAGCTTTGAGCATGTAGTGGCCGGTTCTTGAGTCTTGATCGCGAGCCCTGAGAATCGATGGGTAACACCAGACGAATCTCCAAGCCTAAAGTTCTTGAAGCCTTACCCCAAACCGTATCTATTGGACCCAGCGGGAAAGCCAAGATAAACGGGCAAGGCGTCGAAGATCCTGCACCCTAAACCATTTATGCATAAAGCCCAGAAGGCCATGTTGTTCCACAGCAGAATTGCTATTGAACGAATCCTGCCTTCCGGAGGGGGGGGGTAAAGCATGGCATAGAAAGGGTTGCTGAGACAAAATATTATCGGCTCGAGGATTGTGCAGTCATGCCATGACACTTTGCGGGGAGGACAGGGGGTGCGCTGTTTCGGGAGTTTATCAGATGTATTTTCTATTAACGTGGTCATGTAGGATTTTGCCGTCGGCATGCCAGTTAACTGGGGCTTCAGCGATACAAGTTCTTTCTTTGGAGATCTTCCTGCAGCCGTCGCAAGTAAGCGGAAGTCTCGACTTCGAAACCTGCAACCCTTTGATTCAACGACTCCTTAGCCCGAGCCTTGCAGTCCCTTGCGCTCCTGCTGTCAATCGGACGATTCTGATGTTGTTAAAGAGAATCGCTGTACCTTTCGATGTTCTGATGTTCGTAAGCTGGATTGCAAGGACCTGGTTTGAGAAAGGCTCGAAATCCTGGAATTCTTTGCCAAGACTGGGCCAAACTGTTGAAAGGTACTCGTCTGGCACGCTCTTATACTGGCAACGGCGAGTTCCACCAGGTGGTTGGAATCCAGGCCATCGCAAGTTGGGTGATTGCGCTTAGCGCTGAGGCGCAATGTCTTGGAGTCTGCAGGTGTCGGAGTTGTGGTCTGGTTCAACACCGTAAGCCTAAGCCAACGTTCTCGAAGCTCTATCAGCGACCAGGTCCCACGAAACAGGTTTTCAGCCCTGCGGGTCGGCTTTGTGGCTTTTCCTGCGACGGGTTTGCAGCCTCGCGACTGTCCAACTCCATGTAAGGTTATGATTCGGGATTCGAGGTTCGGTCCGTTCAACGGGTTTCTGCCGTTGTTGCCTTTCTTTAGACAAGCTTTTGGAGACTTCCTTCTTCAGACCGTTGCAGGGATTAATGCGAACTTCGGACCAGGATCAATGCATCCTTGCCTTGACGATCTGTTCCATATCTTCTTCGAAGCCAACTGACCCACTTGCATAACCGAAAAATCAGAAATGCAAAGCCTGCGCTTTGCACCGGAACGGGCATTCTGCCCCTTGCCTTGAAGCTTTTGGCCATGACATTCGACGAAATTTACTAAGCCCTCGAAACCTTCTGGAGGAGATGCTCGGGAACGCCGGCGTGACCATCGCGCCGCTTCTAGGAGGAGTCCTGATGATGTTGTGCTTATGCTCAGGTTCAAGTGCCAGGTACGGAAAATTGCCCTACTGAACTTCCACTCATCGGGCTTTGACATTTGGCTTAAGCTTGTTGTTGGATAATGAGATGGAACTATTCGGGCTTTGCTGCCGAACTTGGTGTCAGGTCAGCGGAGGGCGTATTTTCAGTCAGGGTTGCATTGAGTTCTTTTCGGACAGACGCGTGCACTGGGGACTACTGGAGGCTCTTGTGTTTCGGGCAATTACTTATGTTTTCGAGTCTCCAACGCTCCTGGTTTTGAGGATTTTTTAGGAAAACCGCCAGCAACAGTATCCAACACCATAGATTCGAAACCCAAAACCTCGCACCCCGAACCCTTGAACCATTGAATCCCGAACAGCCCTCTCCGACATGTTCGGCCTCCATAATACTATAACAGCCACGTGTCAAAGTTCTGAGCTGGAGTATGGATACAGAGGCCCAGAATGAGAGTTTGGTTGAAGAAGGACGTTCTGAGCAAATGTAGTGTCGATCCGCGCCAGCAAAACCTAATAATCAGGTAATACGCAAAAACAAACGGTTTCATTTGTACATAACAGAAGTGAAAAACTATCAATTTAAAACGTAATGAACAAGTACATGCAGGCAGGCAGACAGACAGACAGACATTTCAGACAGACAGACGGACACAGACAGACACAGACAGACACAGACAGACCCAGACAGAGAGACAGACAGAGAGACAGAGAGACAGAGAGACAGAGAGATAGACAGACAGAGAGACAGAGAGACAGAGCGGCAGACAGACAGCCAGCCAGCCAGCCAGCCAGCCAGCCAGCCAGCCAGCCAGACAGACAGACAGACAGACAGACAGACAGACAGACAGACAGACAGACAGACATTTTGACAGACACACAGACAGGCACAGACGGACGCAGACAGACACAGACAGACGCTGACAGACACAGACAGACAAATCACATATATATATATATATACACACACGGATATAGTCGTGATATAAATGCTTAAACAACTAAACAAGTATGTGCATATATACAAGCATACATACAGTCATTGGTCATGTGTTGGTGTTTCCAAACAGTGAACTTTCAATCCCAAACGCTGATACAAGACTATGAGCCCTAGACCGTTACCCATGGCGCATGCCGAGCTCTGCTCGAGGAGTGCTTTTCGCCTGGGGAGGCAAGACTTGGCATGATGTGTGGGAACACACAGATGTCGTTGTCGTGGGTGGCGGTCATAGTCTGATGGCGGTTTAGGCCACCACTCCACGAGTTGTGCGTAACGATAGAAATTCCCAATTCCTCTGCATGAAAAGTAAAGTCTCATACGAAGTTCCAAGTTTGTCCCTTTGGGAAGAATCCTCAACATGCCATCAGTGCCAGCAACCAGTGCTAAGAGAACCACGTTTAAATTCGCAGCCTCATCAGAGGCGAGTTGTAAGGAGGGAAGTGCCGGAGGCTTCCAGTTACCCTTCATGCTCAGCGCCGTTATGCACTTCCTGTTCTTGGGCGCTACCTGGCACGACGGGAAATCCGGGTCGAAGCTTCCAAGGGGGTGCTGCAATATGCAGTTTTGCCAGAAACCGGGTTGATCAGCATCTGTGTTTGGTTCAACGAAGATCTGAAGAAGGTGCCCATTGTGGGGCCTTAGCGTCACAGTTAAGTAGGGCTCCATCACCTTCATCATCTTTCTTTAATAGCTGCAAGATACAGTAACCAAAACCCAACTTTAATTTTCGGCTTGTTGTAGTTGGTCATCTGCTTCCGAACACTTCAGGGTGGACTGTAGGCTTCAGGTTCAGGGTTCGGGAAACATTCTTAAGCCCAGAAGACCTGCTGTCGGGCTTGATTCAAGATCCTGGCCAGCGCTGGAGCTGCCCTGCTTGTAGCCTTGGCTTTAATGAGAAACTTTAGATCTTCAAACCCAGACTCCTGCAAGCCTGTATGTGGAGTTCGATGAACTCAGGCACCGATTTGAACATCATCATGAGCCACGAGCATGGTATTTTATTCGGGAGCCTGAACTCTCTAAGCGGAAGCCCCAAAGTCCCTAAACTCCGAGATCACCCTCTTCTCCAGCGGCAGCGCTGCGGGCTCGGAGGCCGAGCCGCTCCTGGACGGACGCTTGTCAAAGTTCTGTTTTACCTGTACTAACCTGAGTCCTAATCCAGTAGTCCTACTCCTAGCCCTAGGAGTAGTAGCACCAGTACCAGTACCTACCAGTGCTGCTGACTACAACTGCGACTGCCACTACCACTGCTATCGCCATTGCTGCTGCTACGGCCACTACTGGCAGTGCCAGTGCCACTACCACTGCCACTGCCACCAGTGCGACGACCATGACGACCCCGACTGCGCATTTTACCAAGCGGACAGGCTCAAGTTGCAAATGTTCATGGCATCGATGACGCTTCAACCCACAAAATAGCCTGCCCTCAACACTTAAGCCGAAGAGCCTAAGCTGAACCCGGAAGCCTAAGCCCCAAGCTTCTTTGCGCTGGCCGATGCAGTTTTGAGTCCCAAGCCCAAAACCACCCCCAATCCTCAGGCGAGCGCCCGGAGCCCATGGTGGCGGTGTCTCGCCTCGATTCATGGTTCTACTTTCTACGGGATGCGTTGGCAAGTTGTCACTACGGCGTCGAGGGTTGGAAGCGGACTGTTCTCGAGCCTTGCTGCGAGCAGGAGTCACTGTATGACTATATGGGTACCCTGGGTACCAGTGAATGGAAGCAGGGCAGATAGACCAGGTTTTGAGCGTCCAGCTTTTTTTGGGGAGGAGGGGACACTGTCCCACGTGGTTTGCGCCGCTACTAGGGCTCGGTCGACCCGGTCTCTGTTGGAAAGAGCTACTCAAGCTTTTGTAAAAGGGAACTCCGAGCAAGCACAAGGCACTATTTCCAGGAATGAACCTCTTGTGAGAAGCTGAGCTCTGCCCTTGCTTCACACATATCAGCTCCGAACTCTGTACATTTTTTGCGCCAGCGGCCTCACGCAGGTGACAGCCTTCTCGGTGTGCTCGCTGCCAGTTCTGCTTTTGAACTTCGTTCCGCTGCACCTGGAGCTGCAAGGTTGTTGGCTGTGTAGAGTTCATCAAGCTGCGGCCGCAAGTCCAACGTGATGCTGCACTGTGAAGCAGTCAAGGCTACAGCCACGGCCCCAAACCTGACCACCCGACTTGCAGAATTTCCAAACTCCATTCCGTACTTGCCAGCATTTCGTACTTGCCAGCATGGGGCTGAGGGCGCACGGGGCTGAGAATAGGAAGCAGGCGACCACACTGTTAATCACCGGAGTAACAGGATGAGCAGCACCAGTAGCAATCGCAGGTGTAGTTGTGCTGGTATTATAACGACGGCGACGACAACGCCAACAACAGTATGGAGCAGCAGCAGCAACAGCAACAACAACGGCAACTTTAACAGGGACAGCAGCAGCAACCACAAAAACAATCAGACAACCACAACCCCTGCTACAAACAAGAACAAAACACGAGAACAATCACACAAAGACAAGAACAATACTGAGAACAACAAAAACACCACCACCAACAACGACAGCAGCAGCAACAACAACAGAAGCAGCAACAACAACTGCAACGGAAACAGCAACAACAACCACCACCACAACCACAACCACAACCACAACCACAACCACAACAACAACAACAACCACAACAAAAACCAACAACAACAACCACCACCACCACCATCACGACGACAACAACAACAACA